CAGGGAAGCCAAATAATGTAGGGAAAACCGGTTCAGGGACGCCAAATATGTAATCATAGTGGCTCTCTGAAGGCAACAGTTCTGTAGGGTTTGGGCATTTACTGAGACAATTATTAATTGTAGTAAATCAGCCTGCATGGTTTCTCTGTGGCTGCACCACAGAGATGAACAAAGAAATGAGGCCTAATTTGGGAAAGCTCAGAAACACTTAATTCTGCCTTATTAATAAGCCTCACCACTACACATGTTTTGTGGTGCTGGGTTGGGGGATTTCTTGCAAAGACAATTCCTACGATTCTTGCTGTGAGGCTCCCCTTCTGTGGGCCTGACAAAATTCTCCACTGCTGGTGTGATCATTTCTCCATTCTTAGGTTAGCCTGTGCTAACATTGTCATCAACAGCATTCTGGGATTGACCATAGCATTGAGTGTTCTTTTCATCCCTCTGTTCCTGATATTGCTGTCCTGTGTGATGATTATTAAGCCAGTGCTGCAGATTTCTGCAGCTCAGACAGGAGAACCAAAGCTTTCTCCACCTGCTGGTTATCTCTGTCTTCTTCTTTACAGCAGCGTGTATTTACATTTCCTACAGGGTTCCTGGGACAGCAGTAGATTTGCGCATCATGGCAGCAGTGTTTCAAAATGTTATACCTCCCCTTGTGAATCCAATTATCTACTGTCTGAGAATGAAAGAAATCCGGACCAGTTTGGTTAAAAATTGAGAAAAGGGCCTTGCCACTCTCAAGGTGAAAAGAAAAAGTCCCTTCAAAACTTTGGCACTCCCAGATTGAAATCATTAACAGTAAAAGATATGTATTGTCAAAGAAGACATGGTTATTCTGTGTTAACCTTCACTGATTTATCCCCAAAATTGAAGAATTACAAAAAATATTTATATAATATACAAAATATTTAATGAATTTTACCATATAGAGCTCAAAACAAATGCAATAACCTTGAAGAATCAGGTGAATATAGAGCAAGAGGTCTGTTAATGATATCCTTAACCAGTTAAGCACAGTCTGCTTGGAAAACAGAAGCACAAATAAAAATATAATTTTTATCTTTGTATTTTTCCATTATTTAATATTTGCAAATTACAATAAAGAAAGGAGGACAAAAAAAGTTAACAGGTTATCTTTGTTTCCAACTCACTTTTTTAACAACAACAATAGGCTTTTCTTGAAGATGAGCAAAATTTCATTCCAAAACATATTTATGAATGGATAGTTACTGGACAGGCTAGAAAGTTAGTCAGTTAGGTCACCCTTGGGCCAGACTCCTGTTCACTTTCATGTTGCTCAGTCACACACAGGATACATGAGACTCTCAAGAGTCCTTAAAAAATCAGCTGGGAGTGTACAAAACAGTAAAACAGATCCTGAAGGCCTGATTGTTAACTCCTAATATGCATAGAATCTTTCCCATTGTTGTAAATGACCAAAAAAGTGTATTTCAAAACATTGCCAAAACATTTTTCTTATTTTAACATTTTTGTCTTGTTTTTTATATCTTAATACAAGTACGACTGATGTTTTATAGTTACATTACAATTGATAATAGACAACAGTGAAAAATGTTTTGGATATTTCTAACCATAAATAAGACTAGACTGGAACTGAGCCACAGTAGTTGCTTCTCTGTTCATTTACTTTGAGCCAGCAATTATGATTTCATTTTCTTTAATTGACAATAAAAACAAATCCTTGAAAATGCCTCCACTTCATTTTTTCTGTCACTTTAATTCCTCATTAGTATTCTCTCAAAAGAGAATTTGAAATTGTCTAGTAAAAGTTAATAGTTTTGTAATAAAAACTGCAGTATCTCAAATAATGTTGTTAATTTTGCAGGCATTACACTACTAAAAAATCAAATATTTTTGCTGTCTTGCCTATAGCAGTTACTGACACTTGCAAAGTTCTTGCAATTTGTCTTAAAGATTGACTTTCATTTCTTAAAGTAATTATAGACTGTCTTTTTTCCATGGCAAATTTTGCCATGTTCATTCAGGAATTACAAACTTTTGCCCATGCTCCCTATATTTATAGTAATCGTGGACCCTCACCTGTTTACCAATAATTGGTGACAAAAGGTAAATGAGGTATCATGATATATAACTGTGAGAACATCTAACAAAGAGAATTTTAAACTTCTTTGAGTTTTCTATGACTAAGTTATACACATTTCTGACTTTAAAAAAAATTAAATAAAAAAAAAAAGAAATTAGATCAAATGGAGTCCTGGACTTCCAGACTACAGTCTGCAGAATCCTTGTGGTAGCTCAACATTCTGTAACGGGAGCCGGTCCCAGCTCCCATGAAGCATAGTTCAGGACCCTATGCAGATAGTATAATTCTGAAGTAAGTGGAAAAGGACGACGGGGAGGAGACGGCAAGAATCAGGAGGGGTTGACAGACAGGGGGGCGTGACGATGGTGAACTGCTGCTTGGGGGGTGTAGCCAAGGCAAACAAGTCCAAGGAGACTAGGGGGAAATCCAGGGCGAAATCCAAAAGTCCAAAACCAGGTGATCCAACCAAGATTTGACAAAACAGATTTAAAAACCAGAATGGGGTCTGGTACAGGGACAGGGAATAAAAACGGGATGAGGAGGCCAGGCGCTCTGAGCCCCATACTCAGATGGTCAGGACGCCAAACTGAAGCATCGGGTCTCTTCTGGACCTGCTGGTAGGCGGGCTGCCGGGCGTTCATCTCCCAATCCTGAGCCCAGAATACCGAGAGCACCAGGTGGGTTTACGATCCTGACAATTAACCTGGGTTTCAGACTGAAATCCGCTTGCTTTGGGTGTTCATCTTATTGAAAATGAAAATAATAACAATGCAATGCAGTTCACTTAAGATTATAAGTACAAATACAGATGCAGCCATTCAAAGTGCGCAGCACAGACACGTACCGGAGGTAATTGGCTACGACCTCGTGCATCATGACGTGCGTTGACACAAAATACCGCGGTACGTGATTGGTTGACCGACAGGGGCACTCATGGTGTGTTGGTCGGTCGTAGAAAGATTTAAATGTCTTTACTGTGCCTGTTTTAGTATTGAATATTTATATGGAATTTTACCACTGAAGGGAAATCTTAGTAG